TGGTTTGTTACAGTGTGAAATCTTTTTTAAGATTACTATTTGTAGAAGTGATTTCTTAGGTTGTGGATAAGAGGAGGGAAGAATAGACTCAATAAGGAACGGGTTTTGGTTTTTGAATTCTGTGACTTTTACTAAGGTGCGATGCGGTGATTGCGATATATTCTTGTCGGATGGAAGAGGAAAGGCAGAGATGGACAATGGGGGCGATTTGGTGGTTCAGCGCTTAGGGATCGTAATAAAGGGAAGAAGTGGGGGATAGTATTGACTGGAAAGGAGCTGAGATCGTATTTGGGAGGTAGGAATTGGAAAACGAACGAGGATTATGGAAGAGTGGGTTATGTAGGTTATGATGTTCAGCAGGAAGGCTGATACCGATGGTAAGCAGATGCAGATGCAGCAGCTGCTTACCATGCAGATTTAAAAACTCACCTAGACGAAAACCCGATATTACCAGTCTCACAGTTCGCATCCAGATCCTCTTTATCCTCTTTACGAGTACGTTTTGCGCAACGGGTCAGGCGGAGTTTTGGTATGGCCATTTGCAGTGATAGGTAGATGCAAAAACTTAAAAGATTCGGTGTCTTGCCTTTCTTTGCGGAGCGGTTTTTTTTTTCAGCCCTGGAAGTTGATGTTGATGATCGACAGCTTGTGATTCAGCTGAAACAATGGCTGTCATCATTGATGGGCCTAGAAATGCACGAATTTAATATAATGAAACATTACACTGTGAATGAGGACGATGGCTACGAATGTGTTACCTGTGATACGGAAACTATACGAGCAGCTCTTCAAGTCGTACAACGAGTAAATCTTACAATTTATTTCAAAAGAAGAAAAGAACATCGAAATGTTGGGTTAAACTGATGATAGAAATACTTTTTATTAGCTCCTCAACCAATTCATTAGCTGTTCAACGTGTTACGGAAGAAACAAATGACAGATCGGAGTAAGGGATGAAGTTGGCCAATTCTCTTCGTATCCTAGCTACCCATATAATATGCAAATGTCCCGTCTCTGCGCCACCCTTGTGATATAAAATTGGTATGATTGGCATTGATAAGACTAGTGTTTTTGTCAGATGGAATTGTGTGGCAGCTGCGGTGTGTAGTTGTAGGCTAGCTACCACGTTTTCGCCATCCTCATCCCGACCCCTAGTTAATTAAAATAAAGTTTATGCTGTTTTGAAAACTCACACGCTTAACTGCTAGTTTAGGCGGATCCAGGGCGACTTCCCGGGAGGAGGGGGCGACGAGTTGTGGCAAGAAAGAGGGGTAGGGCTCCTAGCGGGAAGAAGGAGAGGGGGAAGGGAGCGGGGCTTCTGAAAGGAAGAAAGGGGTTTGGGGGAGTTTTTTACAGTTTAGCTTTAAACCCGGACTTTTGTAGCACTGTTGCCTGCACCGCTGGGTGGAGAGGCGGAGGAAGGGGCAAAAGACTCGTCGCTCCCTCCCCCCACCCCTCCCCCCGCCTCCCTCCCCTTTCCCCAGTCCTTCTCTACCCTCTTGGATCCACCTATGGCTGCTAGAATGCCAGAGGGAATGGGCTTACAGTATCACTAAATGCAATGATTAGATGTTGTCAAAACCTCCCACCGTACTCTTTCTCTCTCTCCGAAAGGGGCGGAGGCATTCGGAGAGCAGCTCTTGTGGTAACAAATGTCAGCAGCAGCAGCCGCTGGCTGGCGGAGCTAATCGATCGTTGCCTTTTTGAGGTTGTTTACAGCAGATAAGATGTACTGTAATGTTAGGATACTGTAATGTTTTAAAATACTCCGATCTATCCCAACTTGTTGTCTGATTTCCCAGCTCTGCAGCTGGCATCTTTTTCAGCTGTTTTGGCCAATGCTTGCTGCATCCGTGGTGGTCAGTTTAGTAGTGGCCCTTAAATTCGTTTTATTGGCTTAAACAGAGAAATTATAAAATGCAAAGGAAAAAATAGGGAGATGATAAGTAGCAGCCATTAGAAGGCCGAATCACAAGTGGGCGGTCCAAGTAGGGCGAACCGCAATTTTTGAAGCAAACCATGGAAAATATGGAACGGCCATAATCCATAAATTTTAATCTATTTTAATATGATTTTGATGGAGTTGAAACATTCAGAAAATAGAAAAGTCTAAATATGTTTGAATATTTGAAATGGCTATTAATCCACCACTAATTCATATTCGGAGCGTTCTCTAGTGGTATGGCTGACGGATTTGGGCGTTCACAGTACACATCATACATTCGAACGAAATATGCTTGAAATTGATATTTTCTAAACAGAACTATTCTATTTCTGCATGATGATGTATGTTTGTAGCTATCGGTAAAGCTGCGTGCACCATTAAAGGAAAACGAGAAGTTGGTACATGTCGTACGTTTCGAGCGCGACATCGATGATGTGAGTCAATTTTGCGAAACGGCTTTTGCATTTACACAGTTTCTTGGCTGCTTCATATTTTAGCATTTTGAAAAGGCCTTGTTTTTCATCTCTGTGCTTCTTACTATGAATTTAGCTGGCAGCATTTTCGGCCACGAGCTTACCTCATCCAAAACATTCCCCCAAAATTTCAGATTTCTAGCTTTCCTGGTATCCGAGTTAGCAGTTTTCCTCCTAAAACTTTCATATGCCCTTACGTGAGTAACACGCATAGCTTGGAGCTGGATTTGAAATATTTGAATTGTACTTTGATAAGGAACATTCTCCTAAAATAAATGCTTAGAGTTTCGAACAGCCTTCTCAGTGTCCTGTAATAATGTCTGGGTACCATTCAACAGCTCTTTTTTACTTATTACGTTTTTTCGTCCTTCACATTTTCTTCCCTCATTTAGATCATTCTGATAAAGTTGTAATTGTTGGGCAGTCGTAATGCCTTCTTTATTGATTTTTTTTTTTTTTTTAAAACGGACTTTTCAGATTGATAAATGGCCAACTCTGTTGAATGTGCCGGTAGCAGCGAAAACACAAGTGCGCACTGTATTAACGCGTTGTCAAGAGCAGCTGAAAAATGTTTACGAATACCAATATGATCTCAGACAGTAAGATATTTGATAATTGCAATGGCTGCTAGTTCACTAACACTGAGAGCTATGCCATTTTGATTCTTTTTCATTGCACGATTGTTTTTGACCAGTGCTCCAACGGCCTGATGGTCAGCCTTCTGGCGACCCAGGTTTTCGTTTCATCTCCTGAAGGGATTATCGGCTGAATAGCTTCCCCGATAAAGATTAAGAATTATGCTTTATTGCATAACCGTATTTCAAAAATTTTGTTTGGGAATTGAAAAGCAGTCTAAATTATTTGTTTTTCTCACTCTTCCACAGCAACTCTGTGAATAGCACATATTTTTAAACAGATTATAGCAACCAGGTTAACCCTAAGAAGCCTAAATGGCAAAGACACGATTTGGTCTATTTTTTGGCAAATTAAGCCTGTATTTAAAACGGCTGCCCGGTGACACATTGGTGTCTTCGAAATGTAGAAACGAAAGGACCTAAATTTCCCAGAATTTCAGTACAGTATCGCTAGGCAGTTACATGCGGATGTGAAACGCTAACATTTCCTATTTGGGCATTCTTGAAATGTTGATCAAGAACAGTTATATTAGCCTTAGAAATAAGAGCCATCGCCGTCTTTGCCAGTAAATGCTCGTTCTTCAACAACAGCATATGAATCATTGCACAGTAGATTTGCTGTTGTATGTTCAGGATCGAGAGGCTTGACATAGTTGCTCAGGGCTTTTGGAGAAGCATCTTGGTAATATCACCAACACGAGATTCCCATACTGGCTGCCGCGGAGTGGATTTGAGCTACATAAGTGTAGAAGTTTATTAAAGTTACCTGGAATATTGCTTATTGGACTTGAACTAGCTTTCTTGACATTTTTTGGTGTATTTTACTCCGAAATCTAAAATGGTACATTGTAGCATTTAAAATCGCTTCAGTTTACGCTTGCGTGATTATGTTTTGGCTGGTGGAATGCAGTTGTTGGACATGGATATCACTCTTGAACAGCGGGAACGTCTATGGCATGACGACCTCTATCTGCAGATTTTAACAGGTAAAGCATTTTTTTTTCAGCATTCAGCACCTCCTCTTTTTTTCTGCTTAAAATTTACCGCATCGGAGCTTTCTGTTCAGCATTTTTCTTTGGCCAGATGCAATTCCAAGAACATGATATCAATTTTCACGTACCTCTGCTTCTTGAGTGCGGACACGTGAAAGTTCCGGCTGGAAAATTGCTAACTCGGGAACAAGAAAAGCTAGAAAACTGAAATTTCAAGGGAATATATGGGCTAGGGTGTCGGCCACGTGATGCAAAAATACCACCCAGCCGACAGTCTTTTCCTCTTGCAAGCAAAAAGAGCTAAAATGTGCTAAACTGTGAAGCATCAACCATTCCTGCTGTTGGCGATCTGAATGTTTTATTTGGGGCGCAAAAACGCATAATCGCACCGGCAA